TGATGCAGGCCCTTTGCTAGCTGTCAAACGCTGTTGTTGGGCAAGACTATTGAGGGGACAAATCTTGTCTCTAAACTCAATACAAAAAAACTTGAGTTTTACATGTCTTGTTTTATGGTGCTGTGCAATGGTGTGGTGCACCGTCATGTATTACAGCTTCTTGTCTGCACAAGCGGTACGTTTGGAGTTCTCAGACTTCCTTTGGGCCTTAATGGGATGGAGAAGTGTATTGCTTTATCAGTTTTCAACCTGCAAGAAAAGACACAACAGGGAGCACTGAGGGAGAAAGCATAGTAATTTTAAATGGAAAATGAAGTTATGGTGTACAGGCATTACCAATTAAGTAGTAGAAGGTATTGCTTCGTTAGGGTGAGCCATTGTTTGAATATATGTTGCACTTGGATGGGACAAGGTCACTTGGTCAACAAGGAAAGGATTTTGAATGGGAGTCTGTCAAATACCAGTTATCTTTTTATTTTGGATGTATTCTAGGCAATGGAGTTAATAATGATGTAACTCTTATTGCTAAACTTAGTAGTTGAGGTTTTTTTGTTTGGATTTTTGTTTTGTTTTAAGTTTTGGTATCAGCTTTATAACATGTAGGTACCTAGTTTATAATAAGGTTAGTTGAACCTGATTTGGTTGTTGCTACCAGATAGTTGCTTGGAACAACTCTGCCAGGTTTGTTCATGTCAATCTTTCTGTTTGTTTGTTTGTTGTTTGGCTAAAATGGGTAGATTACTTCAGCACCAGAGAGGCAAATAATCAATCTAAAGACTTAAAGGCTGCAAAAAAATATAGGAAATATTAATAGAAAATATTGATGGAATGCATGTATCAGATTTATTGTTGTAAAATTTTAGAGCATTTTTTAAAGCGAAGCTCATTATGAGATACTTATTGAAGAAAAATTATCATAAACCTGTCAACTTACTAGAAAATGCCCTTTTTTTTTTTTAAGCAGTTTTATATAATGGTCATTATGTCTACCCTGGTTATCGTGCATGGTTAAAAAAAATAGAAGAAAAAAAAGAAACATTTACTTGTTTTCCCACTGTGTGTTTCAACGAATGGTCTCTTCTACTGCCTGCTTTATATTTTTCTATAGATTATTTTTAATTATGCCAGCATAAATTTATGTAATCTTAAAATATAGATGTGCAGGTTTAAAAAGCTGCAAACATTCTAAGGTCATTAAAATTGGAGTTGAATGAAAACATCAGATTTTTTAAAAGCTCCTAAAATAGAAGCAGTTGACTACAAGTTAAAGGACTTGTTCAGCTATATTGTGTTTATTATAGTTTAAATAACCCAAAATGCAAAAGTATGAAGTGTTATTTCCCACCCGCTCTTCTCTTCCCCAGAAGAAAGGTGACAAAATGGGAATCTGTCTCAAGCTTTCAGGATTTTTTTATCAATGCCTTAATTCTCAGGCTGAATAGGACAGAAATGAGGAGAGTTCAATTTTCTTGTTTGTAAGAACATAATCTTTAAGAAACAGGTGTTTCTTTTATTAAAACCAGAAAAAAAATGTGAAGGTTCACATTTGTGTAGTCCATAAGGATCAATCATTTTTCCACAGTTGTCAAACTTAATTGCACGACTAAATTGAGAACTCTGTTCCAAGCACATAAAGCTTTTCATTAGTCACTATAGCGACTTATTTTATTTCCAAACCAAGCCTAAGCAACATGGGTGATAATTTAAGATTGAATTTTGGAAGCAAGTGGTGGTGTTTCTTTGAGCTTAGAGGAATGTTACTGTTGAGGGAAGTTGCAAGGCAGTTATCCCAAGACCGTTCAGGATTTCCTAACTTCAGCTGAGTGTCTGGGTTGAGAAGGAGAGAGTTAGCATCCAGAGCATAATAGCCAGCAGGACTGTGTTGGATGCATGTGAGGGATACAGATGACTTGGATTGTGTACCGGGGTGGTGTTATTCCATGCAATGTCAGTCCCACAAAATGGGCAGGATTGTGCCTTTTCTTTTTGGGCTTGTGCCTTTTCTTTTTGGGCTTCTGCCTTCCGAGCTGTTCATTTTCCAGCTCATCAGCATTGACAGTTCTTGTATTTAAGCACTCTTTGGCTTAACCCTTGTTAAGTGCCTTTATTAACACAAGTCAGTAGAGGGGCAACTTTGCTATCTTCTAGATGGTCCAGTCTGGACCTAAGCACATACAGATGGATTTTTTCCAGCAGTGTTTTGTGCTTTCCTGTTTGGGATAGGGACTTTGAGAAAATACCACAGGACCTTGCAGTTCCCTGTGTGTCAGGTTGTCTGCCATCACCACCATGTCAAGGCTGTGGGTCCAGCTTTCTTGTTTTTTCAGTTGCTTTTGAATGAAACGTCTCTCCTCTTCTCCTTCTGGCTCTTTATACCCTTCACTCTATACTTTCTTTTAGGCCAGGACTTCTCTTTTTGAATAAGTTATCTCTGAGCAAGTATACTTTTCCTTATGTGTGAAGGCACTCCCTAGAGCAGTTGTATACTGCTGATTACTTTATCCGAGCATGCACAGCATAACAGTTGTGAAGGGTGATAACTAGGTTAAAAAATAAAATTAAAAAAAGAAATTCCACATAACAGTTGTGCAGGGTGCCTTAAACATCTGTGGAAAATCTCTTGCATGAAATGCACATCAATTTTCTTGAACTTATTTTGAAAGCTCTTTTGAAAAGTAAGCTTGATGCCCAGTATCCTGCTAGAATTAGATAATCTGAAGATCCAAGATGGATAGGTTTCCTTTGAGGTCTAGCTAGCGTACACAAGAGTGTGTGTGAGTGCATGTGTGCTTGTGTGTGTACAAAAAAAAATATACTTTTTATACAAAGGGAAAGTATTACAAAAATGTGTACATCAGTTGTCATGGCAGGCAGAAAAAATATTTGCAGAAGCTTAATCAAAACCTTTCTTCTATTTTAGGATTTCATTAAATATTCTTCTTACGTTATACCTAAACATTAGTATTTTGTGACCACCAGAGTGCATTTTGTTCCAATTGTAGTGAACCTGTCTGTTTCAGAGATCTGAACGTTCCCTTTTTTTCCTTCGAATAGAAAATCAACTCAAAACTTAATTCAGTCTGATGCTATGTTTATTTGTAATAAATTCTTACGAGTGCCTGAAGTGGTTGCTTGATGTTGTTGAATGGGCATGTCGTTCCCCTGTTAAGAGTAATCACATCCTTTAAAACATAGCGTCTCTAATGAAGAAATATTGTTATGGAAACAAGTCATGGAAATAGCACAAATAGCATATCATGTAACATTTTTGTTCTTGAAGAACTCAGACTACTTGTGTCTTATGGTGAAACTGGAGAGCTTTTACACCAACCTGGTGTACTGGCTGTGGAAAATGACCCCCTTTAAACTGTTAATGCTAGAGTGGTAACTTCCATTTCAAACAAACTTCTCTTTTGTGAACATGTGTTTTGCAACAAGGTGGCTTTTTAATGATACAGTATGAAAAAATGGCCAATGAGATGGTAGTATATTGGAAAAATTTAAATTTGGTGATGAGATACTGTAATTGAAACTGTTGGTAGCATGAAGTAGTAAGTACTGGATGAACTAGTTGTATTCATCTGTGAGTCTAATTGGAACTGTAATAACCAGAGGCAAAAAAGTCTGTTCATGCTGTACAGTTATGGCTTTGGTAAATAAATACTGATGTGTGTATAGGAGGATGGAAAATAATACTTTAAGTGTTGTCCTGTTTTGCTTACTCTGGTGCAGTTTTATTTAGATACTGTGGTGCTAGTCATGTTACCTCTTTCTGGCTTGATTTTTCTGCTGTCTTGTGCAAAGCTACTAGAGCACAGAAAACCTGCCCATTGACAGTAAATTAAATATTTAAATAAAAGAGATTTAAAATATCCCATGTTTACAAAACATGCAGTTAAGTCATTGGTATTCATTACCATTCCTCAACTGCAGTGCTCCATGCAGCTATTTATATTACCCCAAGATCTGTAAAAGGGGAGAATGAAACAAATAATTTTAGTTTTTCCAGAGCTTGCATTTTCTGGAAGAATTGGATGGCAGTTCTGTGTTTTATTACATCAAAGATTAGTGCATCTGTCACATTGTGCCGTTATTTAGTGGTAAAGTCATGTCTACTGTCATTAGTCAACTCCTTGGTTAGTGTTTTGGATAGAGAGATTTTACTAGTGGGTGTAGTGGTACCACAGATGCAGTCTAGTTCGTTGTTTAAACTTACAACTTTGGTTTCATCAGGTTAAAATACTTAGAGATATAGTTAGAGAGTTGCACAGCTTCTGACTACTCTTCTGTAAAATTCAGTCACATAAAACTGTGAGCCAGTTTGTCTAATTTGAATCAGTGTAGTTCCATTAAAGGGAGTGTTATCAGGAATATTATTTTTTACCGGTTTTGTTGTGCCTAAATCAAAACTTATATGATTTTTAGGTGCAGTTCTTTGGTCTTGATTTGAAACTAGGAAAGACTGTTTCTCAAGAAACTAAACTTTTGTCTTGCAAGTTTAGTCTATGGTGTGACCAGAAAATAGATTCCTTAAGTCTGGATCATCACATTCTCTGATTGCTTATTCTTATATATTTATCTTGTTTATTTAAATTTTCTCAGATTGAGTTCTGCTTGTGTTTTTACATTAGATTTACTGTAAACAAATATGGGAGGTAATACAAAATAGTTTGTGTAATTAAAAAAAAAAAAAAGTAAAGTTGCCTAAACAGAATCATATTCTTGCATTCAGTTTTTACAATTAAGCTGTCCTGGGGACATCCATTCTAAATTTCATGTGGTTTAATAGTGATGATACTTCAAAACTGACCATTTTTGTTTACAGTGTTTTTATTATTCAATATATGACTAGTGTGGAATCACAACTAACAATTTTTTTTCTCTTTTTTTGCAGACTGGACTTTGACATTCTTTTCATGAAAGAGGTTTCTAAGTAGTTGTCTTATAATAACTTTGAGAAGAAGTTCTATGTAGCTCTTACTTTCAAGAGCGCTGCAAAAATGATTACTTCAGATTTGCCAGTACTACAGTGAGTATATGTTTCTCTATGTATTTGAAATCTTCGGTGTTAAAAAGGTAGAAGTAAACAGAGAGGTGAACACAAGGATAAAGCACAAGCTTGAGAGAAGTGCATATTACTGTGACTGTTCCAGGCCTTCTGTGTTGTGCTATGCTGAAAAACTGTGTAAAAAATTAAACACTTAAATCTAAAAGATATTTCTTTATATGTATGAAGATTTAACTTTGCAGTGAAAAGCAAAACAAGGTCTTTGCTACTTTTATGCTTGAGTGTAGTGAGATTTCAGAAACGTGAATGGGTTTTAGTCATAGTTGGCCATATTTGTGTATTCCAGTTGCATACTTTTTCTTACAATGAGCTGTATTTATTGTGCAAAAAGCCTTTGGCCTCTGCAATTGAGGAGAGCAAGTGGCGTTAGCATGTTTTGATTGCATTGGGAAATAGGAGCAGCTTATACAAAATGGGAACATCACTGTACCTGAATAAAGTGAACTATTGGGAAGAATAGAGTGGAAATCTATGAGAGGAGCTAGGGAGTACATCAAATAGAATTAAGAAAGGAATTTTAGAAACAGGAACAAAATGGAGCTTTATTTGATGTGTTGGTTTGACCTTGGCTGGCTGCCAGACACCCACCCAGCTGCGCTCTCACTCCCCTCCTCAACAGGACAGGGGGAGAACATAAGACGAAAAAGCTCGTGGGGCAAGATGAAGACAGGAAATCATGTACCAGTTACCCTCAGGGGCAAAACAGACTTGACTTGGGGAGAATTAATTAATGGCCAGTTGAATAAGATTTGACTGATGGTGAGAAACAAAGACAAAAACTAAAATGTATTCCCTCTCGCCCCTGCCCTTTTCCCTGGTTCAACTTCATCCCTTGGTTCCTGACCCCTCTACTCACATCCGCAGCACGGGGTCCCCCGAGGGCTGCAGTGCAGGTACCTGCTCCAGCCTGGGCTCCCCTGGGGCCACGGGGGCATCTGTGCCAGGGCTCTGGCAGCACCTTCTCCCTCCTCCTGCTGCTTGCGGGGCCGGTTCCTCGCCCCTTACGGCACTCGGCCCTCTCCTCAGTAGCTCTCCCAGGGGCACCCGGCTCCTGTGACTGGCCCAGCCGTGCCCTGCCCTGGGGCAGCTGGAACCGGCCAGAACTGGCCATGTCCAGCACGGGGCAGCTCCTGGCGTCTCCTCACAGAGCCCACCCTGCGGCCGCCCCGCTGCCACCACCTTGCCATGTAGACCAAATACATTCGGTAATTATCTAATGCTAAGTTTTTTGCTGGGAATGAACACCTGAAAATAGGAATTATCACAGGGTGTAAAAGAGCCTCAGTTTATCAAGGTTGAGTGGTGTTCCAAAACTAAGATTTCAGGTGCATTTATTTAAGAAACTGAACGCTTGGACAATTGTAAAGTTATTTGTGTGACCTTAATAATAAAATGCTCTGCATTGCGATTTTTTCTTATATTTTTAAAACCTCTTTCAAAAAAAGTTAATTTCTGCTGCGGGTGAGCACATGGCTAAAGACAGGGATGACCCCAATGGGTAGCGCTGAGGGGGGAGCGTCAGCCTGGGGGGGGTTCTGGTTAGCTTTGAGGGTAGTTGCAGAAAAAATTTTTCTCGGTTCATATTTTCCTGGATGTGCCACATTCAAGAAGTGAGAGTGTGCTTGTGAAGTGTGCCAAAGACAAAAAACTGGGAGATTCTGCCACAGCAACGGTAGGAAAGGGATATTCCCGTTCCCAGTTCAAGAAGCTAGATGGCCTTAAGAAGTGAATGAAGTATCATCGAGTTTAAGGTTAAAAAGTGCATATTAATAGATACGGTAACTCTGCACACCAGCTGAAAAACCTGAGGGACATTAAAGATGTTGGCATATTCTTTAATCAGAAGATGATTGTGAGCCACAGATATTATGCAACATTAAATATGAAAGGAAGCATGTATGTTGTTTTTTCCGGTAGAGCTGGGAATCATTTAATGCCACTGTGCAAAGTGTTGGTGAGATGTCATCATCAGTAATATATATAGTTTTGGTTGCTTGTAGACAAGGTGAGATCTTTCTTTTCACAAAAAAATCAGCAGGATTTGCACATAAAGGTTTTGAGACTTTCCTGAGGGCTCAGAACATTAAGTCTAGTGTCGGCAAGGTGTCAAAGAAAGTGATAACTGGTAATTCAGTAGTTCCCAACCAGACATTCATCAGAAAGGAGTCTGGGTAAGGGTGAGAAAACCTGAAGCAATCTTTGCTTTAGGGGTATTAGCTTCACACATTTAGATTTGGGAAGCCACAATCCGGTTCCACAGAGAGAAAGCCAAAGTTTTCTTTCTAGCTCTTAAATAAGCAGCTTTGAAGGATTATTATAATCTACCACTCCTATGCCTTATTTTTACTTTTTCATAAAGTTTTCTAATCTTTTCAGCTCCCCCCTTTAAACAAAGGGTCCTAAAGTCAGTTTGGTATATTAATGTACTTTGCTTAGGACCATATCAAATATTCCCTCCCAAATTCTTCTGTGTTGGGGGGACATGAAAGGAGAAATCTTTAATCTTTCTCGATTCATAGAAGTGGCTTCGGAATGCAGTGAAGACAGGATTTCACTTATTGGTGTTTCAGATGTAGGTAAAAAAAACCTCTGGTGTATTTGACCTGGGTGACTGACTATTAGGAGCCTTCTCTCAATGGGATGACTCATATTTGCTGTGAGGCGTGTTCCTCTTTAGATTTTGAAGATCAACCATGAGAGCTGATTCATCCATGATTCATGAGCCTGTGCATTTAGCCATTTTTCTTCATGAATGCTTTTTTTCACAAGGCTGAGTCTGGTGGTAGCAATTACTGAATTTATCTCTGCCAGAACCTTGAGCCACCTCAGCAACACCAGTAAAGGCTTATAAAGTGTTTTTATTTATGAAAACTGATGCATAAACATAGGTTTTTGGTGTGGTGTGTTTTTAAGGGGAGGTGTTATAAACTCTATAGGTAGGGCTTTATGTAACAGTACAAGGAAGGTAAATTTGTTTTTATTTATTTTGCAGAGATGTGAAATTTACTGTGTCTGTGGAAATATGTTCTTCAGAAGCATGACATGGTAAAGGGTTGCCCAGTAATCTGTTAATTCTTCATTACCATATGGTTAGTTTGAATGGCTAGTTATTACAACTTTGGAATAATATCCAGAGTTTTTTGGAGGGATCCTGGAGTTACTGCCGGTTTTCTAGGATGCTTTAGCCACCACAGAAACCGGAAAGAAAAGCAGCGTAAATTTGAGCCCCTAAAAGGGGTTATCACTTGTCTGCTTTACTTTGCCCACTCCTATCTTGTAGGTCTCCCACACTCTGCCAAATTCTCTTATGTCTCTATCATGTCAAGGTGTCTTAGAGAGGAAAGGTTTAGCCTTAGGCACCGCCACCTCTTCTTTTCTTAGATGAGGCAGGTCTCCTTAGGCCCAGATTATTTTCCCTCCCAACAGCTTTAGAAAAGATAAATAGTGACTAAGCCCAAGATTTCCCCTCAGGTGACTAGTCACACACACGTAAAATAGGGATAGGATAAATCTGGGTCTATTAAGATGTGGATGACTGCCACCAGATAAATTACTTCCTAGCAGTTTTGCAAGATGTGTAGGG